AAAAAAAAAAAAAAAAAAAAAAAAAAAAAAAAAAAAAAAAAAAAAAAAAAAAAAAAGCCAAAGGAAATAAAATAATTTACTGACCAATTATTGTTGCATAGGTGAGGGGATGGAAGATGTCAGACTCACCTAACAGATGCAGAAAGGGGGCCCAGAGAGGTAATGTGACTTCCCCAAGGACACACAGCACTGCCTGCCTGCACTCTGAGGGTGACCTGAAGAGGAGGGTTCTAGGGTACCCCATCTGTCAGTTCACCACCCCAAGACTCGTCTCCAGGAGGCTGAGCTGTGGGAGTGCCCCGCCCCTGCCCCCAGCCACCAGCGAGTCCACATCCTCACATTCTGCCTTGGTACTTTCAGCGTAAAGCCTTGATGTTCCCAGCTGCAAAAAGGGCTCTCTGCAGGGTGGGTGGAAGGGCGAGAGTGCCAGGCTTCGCCCTCTGAGGCTGAGTGAACCCCTTGATGTCGGAGGTGTGGGACTGAACCGTGACACCCCACCTGGACTTGGGCTGGGCTGCCTTCACCTTATTTTTTTTGAGAAAGAGTTTTGCTCTTGTTGCCCAGGCTGGAGTGTAATGGCACAATCTCAGCTCACTGCAACCTCCGCCTCTCAGGTTCAAACCATTCTCCTGCCTCAGCCTCCTGAGTAGCTGGGATTACAGGTGTGTGACACCACACCTGGCTAATTTTGTGATTTTAGTAGAGATGGGGTTTCTCCATGTTTGTCAGGCTGGTCTCGAACTCCCGACTTCATGTGATCCGCCTGCCCCAGCCTCCCAAAGCGTTGGGATTACAGGCGTCAGAACCACACCTGGCTTTCACCTTTTTTTTCCCCCCTAAGACAGAGTCTTGCCCTGTTGCCCAGGCTGGAGTGCAGCGGCGCGATCTTGGCTCACTGCCACCTATACCTCCTGGGTTGAAGCAATTCTCCTGCCTCAGCCTCCTGAGTAGCTGGGATTACAGGTGCCCACCATCCTGCCCAGCTAATTTTTGTATTTTTCTTAGAGACAGGGTTTCAGTATGTCGGCCAGATTGGTCTTGAACTCCTGACTCTGTGATTCACCCGCCCTGGCCTCCCAGAAGTGCTGGGATTACAGGGGTGAGCCACTGCGCCCAGCCTCACCTTTGTTTTATAGGCAATGACTCTTTTCCTTGGTTCTGTGTGCTGCTGGGGGGTGGGGGGTGGGGAGAGTTTGGGAAGGGAATGCCCAGGTCCTTGGGAGCTCTGGGGCACAGGAAGGTTGGGAAGGGAGCAGCAGGGCCTAGGCTGTGCCTGAGTGGGCAATGGCAAGAAATTGACCAAATGAGGAAGCCAAAGACCCAAGGGAGGCTCCTCCTACAAGGCCTTTGCCCTTGCTTTTCCCCCATCTGCCGTGCGGTTGCAGAGTTTGCGGGCCCCCCATATAAGTTTGCCCAATGTCACCTCCCCCAGGCTTGCCCACCAACTGCTCCACTCCTCTCTCCTGTTTTTTTTCCCCATAGCACTTGTCACCATCTGACCTCCTAAATGCTTTGCTTCTTTGTCTTGTTTACCATATCTCTCCCCACGAGACTGTCAACCCCATGAAAGAAGAGCTTGTTCTATGTCATATTTGTGGTTGTTTCCCAAGGAAAGAGCCTGGTATAGAGCAGATGCTCAATAAGTGCCCATGGATGGGGTGAGTGAATCGTCACAGAACGACGTGATGGAATGAGTGAAGGTCATGGTGGTCCGTTCAATCTCTGTGGAAAACGAGGAGGGAGCTGAGGAGATGGAAGAGCCTGATTCTGGAAGGCAAGGGGTCCAGATTCCTATAGAGGGGGCAAGGAGGAACCAGAAGGCACCGGAGTGACATCTTGGCCAGTTATGGGAGTGCAGGGATACTAGTGGAGACCATTGACCCTAGTGAAATGAGTCTGAGGGGTGTGGACACCTGGGAGACAAGGATGAGACCAGAAGGATGAAGAGTGTGGGAAA